GGTAGAAATGACTCAGCCTGGAACTGAAAATATGGATGGAGGACAACAGGTTAGCTTGTTTGTCACACGACAAACAAGCTAACCTGTTGTCCTCCATCATGGGTGGTCTGTGCTGGAAGCACGCAGTACCTGGTTCTTCACAGGTGTAACGTAGCCTTCAGTCCTCCAGTCCACACTGGGACGGACCTTCAGGGAGCTGGGCTTGGAGAACCGAGGAGCCTTGGTCTTCATGTTTGCTGTGGGTTTGAAGGTGTTCACCATCTGATTGAACTCCTCGTTTGTCTGCAGGAAGAGAGTTTATGTTGTTTTAATGTCAATGACCTCACACGTATTCTCTTAAAACAAACAAACATAAATGATTAGTTCTGGAGTTCCACAGAGATGTGTTCTTGGAGAACTACTGTTTTACTTTGTTTCCATTTAGTAACGACTTACAGAGTTTGGTATAAATTTCCAATGTTGTGTAATTTACCAGGATTGTGTTGCTACTGATGGTTTTCATTCATTCATTCGTTCATTCATTCATTCATTCATTCATTCATTCATTCATTCATTCATTCATTCATTCATTCAACGACTGAAGTTAAAGTATAATTAGATTATTTGGCTCCTTCCTGTTGAACTCCCTGACATAAAGCAAACTGAAGGTTTATTTTATTACAGTAAATAAAATAAGTCAGGATCAGCTTTATTGAACTCCTGGTACCAGGTTCAGCCTGACCCGCTTCTGTGAGGTGGACCTGTGGTCTCACCATGTCTCCAAACCGGTTCAGGAGCGAGGAGTGTTTGCCCATGGAGTGCTCCAGGTTGTGCAGCTGGATCTTCTTCAGGTTCTGCTCCCACATGGTCCTCCTGGCTCCGCGTCACACAACAAACATGGTTTATCTGACGGAGCTCCTGGTTTCCACAGAAACTCTGTGGATCAGAACCTTCTGTCTGGATCCACACAGGTTTGTTTTGTTTAATCAAACTTCTTAGAGTGGATTTTTAGACTTAAGAGCTGAAATGTCTTAGATTTGCTCGTACTCTCAGACTTCAGTGTAAGTGTCAGTTATGAAAAGTCTTCAGTCTAAGAATCAGTGTTACTCTGAAGAAAAGTTCAGACTGATCCAGAGGACTCTGAAGTGGTCCAGAGTTCCCACTAGAGGTCTGAGATGGACTGAAGACAGATCACAGCTGTCCTCCTCCCACCTGACTGTTCTTCTGTTATAAACAGGTTTAATCTGAAATATACAAAAGATACAAAATAAAAAATAAATAAATAAAAACTGTGCATAAAGCTGGACTAAAAGGTGGATATGTGTGTGTAGCTTTTGGAGAAAATATTAAATATACTCAGCTGGTGAGTGCAACCCCCACCCCCCCAGAAAAAAAATGACCTTGACCATGACCTCAGGCTCTGAGACATAAAACAACTTTAAAGCTGCTGAGATTTTGATTTAAACAAATTGTGAGATTTTCATCTGTTYTCATGATGCAAATGAGGACATTTGATGTAATTTACAGACAATCAGTACAAGGTGACATTAGTGTGTTGAAAGTGAACTTATCTTAACATTTTCACAGTTTTATCTTAACATTTCTCCAACAATATTCTTGAACATGAAATCTGAGGCAGTGATTGGTTCATGTCGGGTTTTTCTAACGAAGTCATCCAGGATCAGCTTTGTGGTACAGCCAGGTGTCACAGATCAGCTCTAAGACTGACACTTAAGAATTACTCCTACACTTCACTTAAAGTAAGACTGAGACACTTGATAACTGACTTTTACTCTCAGCTTTTAACAAAGATTTTTTACACTTAAGTCCACTCTTAGCAGCATTCTGAAGTGTAATTCTAAGACGTTTGATAAATACAGGCCCAGGACTTGGAGCCGTATCCAGTTTGAAATGTTTGGTTGTTGCAGATCCTCTCATGTGATCTTTAAGCTGAAGTGTAGAGGGTCTCGGACCCCCAGCCTCTGGAACAACTTGTTTTAAAGCACATTTAAAAACTCATTTCTTCAGCTTTAACTCGGTTCACTTTAACTTGTCTCTGATTGTAGTCGTTTCTTTTATTCCTGTTTGTTTTTCCTTTAAACGAGTTTAAAAAAGATAACTGTGTTTAGTGTTTTACAACTTTTATTAAATCACAGTAAAAGTCCAAATAAAAAATCATTTCCATGGACTCAGTGCTGAGTCAGCGAGCAGCATCAACATATTTACACTGAGAACTCTACAATTAGAAAAAGCTCCATAAAATCAGCTCAAACAAAAACATTTCCCTAAAACCTGACTGGTTCTGATCCAGACTGTGCAGAACTCCTGCTCCTCCTCCTGCAGGGGGTCTCAGGGGGTCTCAGACCAGAGGGTAGCTGGCAGCTGTGGCGATGCCGCAGTGGTTCTTTCTGTCTTTGGCCATGTAGATGTAGCCTTTATCCCCCCACTTCTCACTCCAGCTGCAACACGAGCACAACCAGAACCAGCATCAGAACCAGAACCTCTCTGGTACCAGCAGCAGCCACAAACAGGAAGTCATGACCCTGCTGCTGATTGGCTGACCAAGAACCAGACTCAACCAATCACAGCACAGCTGGGTGTGAAGGTTCTGACCCACATATCTACCAGAAGTACACGTACTGTAATGTGCACACATATTGTGTACAAATACTGTGATGTGCACACATAATGTGTACAAACACTGTGATGTGTACAAATACTGTAAACAAATACTGTGTACAAATACTGGAATGCTCATCATGTGACTTAAGCTTCAAACACATTGTTTACGTTGAGCGCAGACCCAACACTTTCAGAACCAGCTGAGATCTCATCTGGGTCACTCAGACCTGATCCGGGTCTAAAGAACCCTCAGCTGACCCACCTGTTCTTCACGATCCAGTATTTCTTGCCGTCCATGTCCTGACCCTGGTATCCGTAGCCCACCACCAGCACGCCGTGGTCCAGCTCCTCGCTGCTGCACTCGGGCTCGTAGTAGATTCCTGAAAAACAAGAACCGGGCCGAGGTGAGACAACCGGGTTCTGAAAAGGAAGTCAGACATAGTTCAACTTCCTGTTTCCTGAAGAGGACAGGATGAATCAGAGGAAGCAAACTTTCCTGATCTACAAGTAAACAACAGAACTTTTCTCTTCATGAACCAAGAAACCAACAAACCAACCACCAAACCACCAAACCAACAAACCAACCAACAAACCAACCAACAAACCAAAAAACCAACCACCAAACCAACAAACCAGCTAACCAACCAACAAAACAACTAACAAACCAACTAACAAACCAACAAACCAACCACCAAACCAACAAACCAACCACCAAACCAAACCAACCACCAAACCAACAAACCAACAAACCAACCACCAAACCAACAAACCAACCACCAAACCAAACCAACCACCAAACCAACCAACTAACCAACAAACCAACTA